ACTTTTTATGATAGTGGTAAACGTTTAATAATACTTTTGAAGATTAATCACAAGTTGCATTAAAAATATGACTATTTGCCATAAAAAAATTATATAATAACGTTTAATCAGTAGAATATACCATATCATAAATTAAGATATCATAATGCTGTTGCTGAGCACTCTAATGTAAAATTTAGTAGACATTCCCTTCAGCATAACTTAGGGTCATGTTATGTATGGATCGTCATGACCAAAATTGTTGTTTTCAAAAGAATTTTGATTTATTGAGTTTAAAGTAAAAAAATACTTACGAACACAATACCTTGGATAATATTTAAAAAAATGATTTGTAAAAGTTATATATATTATCAATAAATATATTTAAGATTTGTACTAAAAAAATTTTTCCGTATATTACTCCACTTTTTTGGCAATAAATGTAAAGCTTAAGTGAAAAAATTTCAAATGGCTTCTGCAGACGAGGACCCTATGTCTCCAAAATTCTTTCCAACAGGAATGACACGAAAGGATAAAGCAGTTTTGTTAGAAGTGTTACGTTCAGGACTTGAAGAAGGACCTATGCGAAATCCTAACCATCCTTACAATCGCTTTAGGATACCACCTGGTCGCGCAATTTTTGCACCAATGGAGGAAAGATCATTTTGGACATGCTTAAAAGGTAGATATTTTTTTAGTTTAAATTTGGTTAGCAAAGAAACTATATAAATGCTTGCAGACTTTTTCCACAATTTGGTTTGGTATATCTTAACTGCAGCATCTGAAACGTTGAGGACATGGCAAAATGATTATTATAGGGCACGTTCAAGAAATTATAACGGCTATTATAAAAGCATACAAACATAAAAATTTGAAGTTTTTATAAATATAACAAAAAAATATTGGAGTCCTGATAGAAGCTTGTGAAAAAAAACTCTTAATCAAAAAATGCTTATATGACATGAAAATTAAGTTCTATATGCAAGACGTTAAGATAGTATCTTGACTTTCGATAATGCATCTAATAAAATTTGGAAATAATCTTTGAATTTTCTCACATTTGATCGAAAAGGTAATAATAAGGTAATAATGTGTATATATGTATATGTGTATATATTTATATATTCTGCTTTATTGACATATTCGTTAAGTCAATTTAAAAATGCTCCACCGTCATAAGCTATACATAAACTTGTATTTTGTATAATACGTTTTTAGTATCAAATCATTGGCGGTATCGTATTGCTTGAGAGTATATAGTATGTCATTAAGTGGATGATTTCCATAGAGAACTTTGATATTTAAATTTATGTTTCTTTTCAATAAGTCAATCACACAAAATGACTACATACGATATATACTATAATTCTCTATATGAAAAGGATCATTTTTTTATGATATATTAAACCATTAACTTATCACGTTAAAGAGCGAAAATATATTTGGGAATATATATAGAGTATTTGGTTTGAATGTGCATAAACTTTGAAAGGTGATAAGATAAAATTAATGAAAATTAACTTGAAAAGTATGAGATAAAATATGTTTAATAAAATCTTTCCATAGCCAAAAGGTGGAGTAGTCGTTTAAAGGTTTACTAATAGTTCATTTACAATTAAGTACAGAATACTCAAACTAAGAATCGATATATCATTTTTATTATTAGTATTATATAATATTATATTATTATATATTTTATTATGTTATTATTTTTAAATATTCAATATATATGTGAAATAATATATCTAAATATCTACGTCAAGGTATCTATTTATATATCAAGCCTGAGTTAGACTTAAGATCAAGCGATGGTCTAAGTATTGTGGCTTATCGAAATGCAGTTTATTGTAGTGAACAATAAATTTCAAACATGAGACTGCGATTATGCAGAACAACTAATTTCAATATTATATATATATATTATATATATAATATTATATATATAAAAAAAAATATGTACTTTCATTCCGAGTTCGGTAAATTAATCCAGAACTTTTTGGTTTTTGGAGAAAATGATTGGCGTTTTTGGTACACATAGGATTCAGATCCGATGAGACTATTCCCGTAAAACTACTTAGCGAAACTACACTAATTTCAAATAATTTCAAATCACTTATTAAGATTTGAGCACATCGGTGGACATTTCGCTGCGACGAGATTTTTAATATAATAATTCATTTTGTATAAGTTAATTGAAAAAAAACGTGGAACAAAGGGTAAATTTTAAATTTAGTTTTAAATTGACAAAAAGCTGAAGGGTAGGAATGCATATTCTTCGTACATATCTTTTATTGATTTGGTAGATTCGCGATGGCCCTGTGAATCTGGAAAACGTTGACTACGTATCGTTGTTAAAAACCGCTTGGAATTAAATAATGGATCAATTAAAAAAAAAAACTAAGCGGAATCTGGAAAAGTAATTTTATCGTATAGCCTATCGATTTATGACTAAAAAATTTTATAAATTATTGCCACTTATTCTCATGAACAACTAAAAAGTCTGGAGAGCTTATCATCGTAGAGTCATCTTAAAAATATTAAGAAATAATCCGCTCAAATTGTTAGCCACCATAACTAGTGATGAAATTTCATATTATCTATATGACGACAAAGTACGTCATAGAAAGAACAACAGAAGTAAGAATAGATTATAACAGAAAAAATTATGTTCTCAGTAGAACAATCAAGACAAGGATGACTGTTTCTTGGATTAAAAAAAAAATTATTACATTGAATTCATTTCAGAGGAACAGATGGTAAATAATGAATAATATCTGAATTTATAAAGACTGGGGGTTTATCCAGAATATCAGTAATAAAGCATTTTAATAAATGGGTCGAAAAATAAATTTTAAAATAATTTATTCCAAATATATTTATTAGAAAATGAAAGTTATTCCGTATTGTTATTATAGTTTTTTAGTCACAAAGATCTATCTGAAGCCTTTAGTTTAGGTCCTTTCAGTTTTAGATTCCTAAAAAATCTTAAAACTACTGCCTGTTCTAAAACCAGCCTAAGTTTAAGTAATTAAAGTCCGTGATTTTAGAAAATTAATTATGCTTGCAGACTCTTAGCAGTGTCAATCATCAATTATCGAAATCTATTTTTGAAGCTAGTCTTTGAGCTTAGAATGGCCATGTGTGCACTGCATATTTTTATCTTTCTTGCCATTTTAAAAGGTTCTACCTTAATTTATTCAATGTGGATTCTCGTATTTGCTTGCGACATATTTTTTGGACATTTCAAATATCTGTAAGCCTCTTATTTCCTAATCGATCAGTGAACTTCAATTCATGCTTTCTGTTTTATTTCTAATTTAAGGAATCTCTTTATAGTTGTACATTTGCTCATATAAAGAAGCAATTAGAATGATTGACTGAAGCCATTATAATATTTTATTGTAGGAATTCTTGAGTTTATCACATAGATGGATTGCTTACGTTCAGATAGTTTTAAAAATA